CGTCTTCTGGCCCGTGCCAAAGATGTCGATCTGCGGCTGCCACGCCTTGGTCTTGCGCTTGAGATCCTGCACAAACGTGATGAAGGTGACCGCCTGCGCGGTGGAGCTGCCCTCGATGCTGTGCTGCTCGAGCTCGAGGCGCGCCTTGGCGACGGCGGCGTGCACCTCGCGCATGGCGGCGCCGAGCTTGGTGCCGAAGCGGTTGAGGATGTCGCGCTGCCACGTGTCGTACTTTGCGTTGACCTTGCTCTGCACCTGGTCGTAGTCGATGACGCAAATGCCAAACGAGCGCTGGGTGTCCGAGTTGTCGAAGGTGGCGCGCGTGCGGCGGATCTCGGCGAGCAGCTGCTGCCAGCTGGCGAGCGAGTCGCCGAGGCGCGCAAACACATGCTCGGACTCGAGGTCCCACAGCGACTGGAACTGGAGCCACTTGGCAACGTAGCTGCCCACCTCGGCGAGCTTAGCCTCGATGAGCACGAAGGGCCGCTCGAGCGAGTCGTCCTGGAAGCGCGTGAGCAGCGCGGTGTAGTCGTTCTCGGTGACGCGCTGCTTGGTGCGCATCTGCAGGCCGATCTCGTAGCGTGAGCTCTGGACGCGCGTGAGGCAGCAGACGACCGAAAGCACCTCGTGAAGCTGACGGAACCACGAAGCACGTGCGTGCTCGAGGGGTGGGTCGAGGAAGATGACCTGGTTCTGGATGCGCACCTCGTGCGTGATGGGCTGCAGCACAATATCCTCGACGGCGCCCTCGGCGTCCTGAGCAGCGCCACCAGCCGTGCCGTTGATGGATACCTTCTTGGACCTGCGATCGCCGCGTGCGGCACCTGCGCCGCCCTGGCTCTGACCATGAGCCACGAAAGCGGTGCACCAGGCAGCACTGACCGACCTGAGTCGGCGCAGCAGCACGTCCTCGATGAGGCGGTCGAGGTTGCCGACCCACTCCTCGAGGTTGGGGTAGCCCTCGAGGTTGAGCTTGTCGATGGTGGTCTGGATCTTCTGCAGACGCTCTGCAAAGGCGTCGGAGCGGTAAGCGCACTTGGCGAGCTCGTCGATGGTGGCGCGCATGTCGCGCTGGATCTCGATGAGCTCGGCAGTCTTGTCCTGGAAGAGGCTGACGGTGCTGGCAAACTGGCGGACAAAGGCGACCTGACGGTTCTCGCGGCCGGCGTCTGCGCCGGAGCCGGGCAGGTAAGACGCGGCGCGGTGGCTCTCGTAGATGTTTGCAAAGTGCTCCCAGCGGAGCGTCATGCCCTGCGAGATGAGCTGGTGGGCGTCGGCGTAGACCTGGGCGATGAGGCACGTGATTTCGGGGTTGGCACGCACGAGGCTGCAGGTCTGGTTGTACGTGCGCACGGTTTCCATGAGCGAGACGGCGTGCGGGTAGACCTTCTTTGCGTCCTTGGCGAGGTTGGTGATGGCGTGCGGGATCTGGAAGTTGAGCCAGATGAGGTTGCGCACCTCTTTGAAGAGCGAGATGGTGTGTCCGTCAAAGTTGACGCTGAGCTGGAGCGCATTGTTGGCGGCGCGGTTCTTGGTGACGTCGAAGACGCGACCGGCGATGGTCATGTCGCGGCGGTTGATGTCGTGGAGCCAGCTGTCGAAGAGGGAGCGCGTATCGAGCTTGCGTCGGAAGGTCTCGCTCTCGCTCTGCAGCTTCTGGCCCTCTGCGTAGAGCTCCCAGCCCTTGCCGAGGACGTCTTCGACGCGCTTCATATAGATGTTGAGCTGGCGCTCGATCTGGCGTGCCCAGATGATGGCGCCTGCGATCTCGGGCACGTCGCGGAGCTGGCTCATGTGGTTGGCCTCGGAGGGACGGTACTGCGCCTTGAACTTGTCGTGGAGCGACTTGATGTCGGACTTGACGCTGTTGAGCAGCTGCTGCTGGTACTCCTGCACGGCGCCGCGCACCTTGGGCCTGACAAAGAGGCTGTTGAACTGGGAGAGGACGCGGAGCATCTCGCGGGCGGATTTGGCCTGGCCGAGGAGGTCGCGCAGACGGGCGATGAGCGTATTCTCGACGCGCGCCACGCGTTCGTTGTAGGCGCCTTCGGCTGTGGTCCAGATCTCGGTGCCCTCCTGGGAGACGTCGAGGACGTCGATGACCTTGACCTGGTCGTAGGCGGCACGGATCTCTTCGCTCATCTCGATGCCGGCGAGGTTCTGTGTGGCGACGTGGCGATCGCTGGAGGTGCCTGCGCTTGCGACGCCGCCCGCGTTTCCGCCGGGAAGGATGAGCCCCTTGCCAGAGCTGACCATGGCGCGGAGCTGCTCGTGGGTCTTGCGGAAGGCGCCAATGTAGTTGAGGCGCTCGCGGAGCTTTGCGTGTGCCGGGTTGATCTTGATGGGGAGGAACTTTTCGGAGCGCTTGCGGGTGACTTCGCGGGCGATGTTGACAAAGTCCTTCATGAGCTCGTCCCAGACGTGAAAGACGTCTGCGGTTGCCGAGATGGTGTCGGAGAAGCGCGGGAACTCCTGCCACATGATGCGCTGGGAGGCGAGCACCTTGAGCAAGGTGTCGTTGAGGTCGCGGCTGATGGCCTCGACGAGCGGGAGGGCGCGCTTGACGGGGTAGGGGCTGATGCGGAGCTTCTTGTTGAGGTGGTTGAAGATGGCGCTGAGGGCGTCTGCGCACTTTTCGAGGTCGGTGGCGGAGAGGAGCTCGTTGATGGGGAAGTCCTTCATGAGGAGGTTGTAGTTGTGCGTCTTTTCAGCGCAGTCCTTGAGGCCGGTGTCTGCGAGGAAGGAGACGGTTGCGTGGAAGCGCTTGGCGTGCTTGAGGATGTCGAGGGTGAGGACGATGGGGTCGGAGCGGAGCTGCTGCTCGATGGACTCCTGCGCCTTTTCCATGGAGAGCCAAAAGTTGATCTCCTGGGAGGCGGAGCCGGAGGCTACGCTGCGATCGAGCTTTGTGATGGTCTGGACTTCCTTGACCCAGGCGTTGACGTCGGACTGGAGCTTGTTGAGGAAGGACGAGTCCTGGAGGAGCGAGGCGGGCTCGACGGCATCGACGCTGACGCGGACGGCGGCGGCGTGGCATCTGTCTACGGCGGCGCGTACGACGGGATGGATGGAGAGGGTGATGTCTGGGATGTCGACGTTCTGCTGGAGGTGGAAGAGGCTGAGTTCGAGTTCTGCGAACTTGCGCTTTGCCATGGGGATGCCCATCTTTGTGTCGCTGTCCTTTGGTTTTGCGCCGGACACGAGCGACTTGTCCTTGGGGGCCTTGCTGGCGACGAAAGCGTCGAACCAGGGCGACATGACGTTGTGGACCACGCTGTGAAGCGCCTCGTAGGGGCTCTCTCGGACGGTGGTTGCGGTTGTAGCTTCGTCGGCGTCGTCGTTGGCATTCCTGGCGCCAGCGTCTGACGAGGTTGCAGCAGCAGCAGCAGTAGCATCTGTGGATGTGGATGTGGACGGGGCCGCAGCGGGGCCGAAGAGGGTGAGTACGTGGAGCTGGTGCGGGAGGGGCACGGCGGCATCGAGCACGGCGACGCGCTTGATGAGGGCGATGCTGGAGACGTGGCGCGACGAGTAGGATGCGTGTGTGGACATTTCGTAGTCGAAGAGGTGGTGTTCTGGAGCGTCTGCAGCCACATCCTGACGACGGATCTTGTTGACGTAGGCAGCCATGAGGTTGGGGTCGCAGGCAAAGACGTTTGCGCTGTCCTTCCACGTGGACGTGTCGAGCAGGCGCTCCGAGATGACGGCAGCATCAGTATCGAGGAGGACGGGAAGCAGCGAGCGAAGGTAGTTCTTGAGCCTGGCAGTGTCAAAGAGGCCGTTGAATCTTGCTGCCGAGGAGGAGGGCGAGAGGTCGGTGGAGGAGAGGCCGCCCTTGGAGACGAGGTCTGGCTCGGGGGGCGCATCGTTGCGGCTGGCGGACAGACGGCCGTTGGAGCCGCTGTATGGCTCGTCCATGTTGGCGCGTGGCGGTGCCAGTCCAAGCAGTGCGAACGAATTCTGAAGACGAGGATGATGATGGGGTGATGATGGCAGCAAGCTGAGCAAGCTGAGCTGGCCGACCGCGGGGGATTCACGTGTGGCCCCGATTTGCCCTGTGCTGAGCTGCAGGAGTGGGACGGAGCGGCGCGTGCCAAAATCGCTTCGAAAAGTGTTGGTCTGAACCGACTCGCACGCGTGAACCTCCGCGCTTTGGCCCAAAGACCCTGTGCCTCGGATTCTCGCCCCGTGTCATCATGTTTGCCTGCGGGTCCTAACAACGTCACATTTATTCCGCCCGAGAATGAGATCGGACCGGCACCTCTCGTCTGAACAAGATAGGCGTAGAAAACAAAATCGAGAAAAAGGCGCCCATAAAAAATGGCAGCAAAAATGCATCTTTTATGGAATGCATCTTTCTGACAGACGCTGTTGAGTACGGCACTCGCCTGTCCCTTCAAATTGTCCACTCTGCCGACACGGAAGCTCGCAACGATCGCTGCGTTGTGTCGCACGGTTGCCCTCTTCCCTCACTTCGGTTCCAAGGGATCCGTGTTGGTTACCTCGTTCGAGATTTTGCTGTGCTGTGCTGGGGGTTACGGGTCGGAGTTGGCAGGGGCGGCGTTTCAATTGGTGCTGCACGAACGCCGAGCCCTGTTGGCCGGGGCGTACATGCACGCGGCCGATCAATGCATGGCTCTCGCTCTTCTCGGCGTTGCTGCCCAGCTTCATTGTGGCCGAGTACGGTGCAGCACTGTTGGGGTGGAGGGGTCGAACGCCCAGATGAAGAAGCAGATGCCGGGAAGCAGATCGAGCAGCAAAAGGCTCGGGCACCCCGGACGAAAAGGAAGCAAGAGGGGGTCGTGCACAGATGAAGTGCAAAGTGGCGGTGGCGATGGAGAAAGCAGAAACTTCGACAGCACCCGCAGTTCCTGTTGCATGGCAAGGCTGTCGACGGCTGCGTGTCAGCAGAAGCTGGTATCGATCGCTGCGGCCCTCAAAGCAGACAAGCATGTGTGCACCTCACCACCATCGCATTACTGCTCCCGAGACTCGCCGCGATGCTGTATCTGGTCTTGCTGCTGCTGTACGTGTCCGGGGTGTTGTGCGATGCGTTCACCGCTGTGCGCGGTACGTCGGGCGACATCTCGCACCGCACCGTCGGCCGGACACCCACAGGCGCCTATGCGCGCTCGCTCAACATCACTTCGACCAGCCAGCTGTTTACGTGGTACTCGCAGACGCCCGCCAACGAGTCGGATGCCGAAGCGGCGTTCATCATCGTGCACGGTGTGGATCGCAATGCCAACACCTACTTTCGCGTGCTCAACAATGCCTGGTCGCACGCGCGCGACGAGGGGATCGGTTCGGCTAGCAACAACTCGATCCGTGTAGCACCGATGTTCTTCAGCACAGTGCGCGATCGACGCGCATACAACACCTCGCACCTCGCTTGGGGCGATTTCAACGCCTGGACGGCCGGAGAACCAAGCACCCACCCGAGGGGTAGTGGTGTATCGTCGTTCAGCGTGCTCGATGCAATGGTGCGCAGATTCAGCAACCGCCGGGCGTATCCGAGGATGAAGTGGATCACCTTGGTGGCGCACGGTGGCGGCGCACAGATGTTGCAGCGCTACGCCGTACTGGGCATGCCCAACCCTGCCCCCGCCCGACTTAGCGTGCGATACGTGATTGGCGACCCATCTTCGCAGCTCTACTTTACGCCCGATCGACCCGTAGCGGTGGACACCACATCCTGTCCCGCATGGAACGACTACCGATACGGCACGCGCAGGTATTCGTCCGACTACGCCGCACTTAGCAACCGCAATGCAGCCGACCTCTTCCGCACCTACGCAGCCCGGGAGGTGCGCTACGTTGTCGGGCTCAACGACACACGCACCGACGAGGGCGACCAGACCTGCATGGCGCATGCGGTCGGAGGCCCCAAACGACGCAATCGAAACCTAGCCTACTGGAAGTACATTAACCTTCTCGCCGGCACCGGTGCCGACCTGCGCAACTTTCCCGGCACATTCCCCATGCTCGAGGGCAAAGACCCGCAGCCCAATGTGCCAGCATCGACCTCGGGGGGTGCAAGGCGGTTCAGGGGCACGCAGCTGAGACACACACTGAGCGTGGTGGAGAAGGCGGGACACAGCGCATCCAGGATCTACGGCTCGGTGCAGGGCAGGAATGCGCTGTTTGGCGAGCAGGCGAGTTCGGGCGGTGGCGATGTGCCGGACCTGGCACAGGAGCTGGTCGGGTATACGGCGGATGCAAAGGGTGCGCGCAACGACGTGCCGGACGAAAGCGACGAGTAGTCCGCCCTCCCACAGCTATGTCAATGATACCGAGTCGAATGCATGTCAGTATTGAGAGGGTAGTGGTGGTGAGCAATGGAACGGATCGGATGAGCGTCGTCTCCACATGTCGAGGAGGAAGCAATCGGAACTCGGAAATTAAAGGGAGAGCTTTGATGCGCGCTTTAGCTCAGCCTCACCTTTGTTGCTCCTCCTCCTTTCCTCCTACCTATTGCCGCCTCCCCATCGCATCAGAGCGTGCTGGTTTCGTTACGATGGCGGGCCCGAATCTGGAGCTGTTCAAGTTCGGCATGTACCTCTTCTTCCCACTCGCCGTCATGGTGCACTATGGCGATCCCGAGTGGTACCACCGCAATGTGCTGCCTGTAAGTTGCCGCCCTCGCTTGCTTTCTGCCATCCGAGCTTACATGCTGACTTTTGCCTGAGCGTTGGTGATGGACAGATTCGCGACCAGTTCTGGCCCAAGGAGGAATCGCTCTATCGACCGCCCCGCACCTCGGACGATGTCAGGACCGCGCTCGACGAGATGAAGCAAAAACGACTCGCGCGGCGCCAAGAGCGTCTCCAACTCGACCAGGCGCAGGCACAATCAGCCAACACCAACACAGAAGCGACCGAACCCAAGGTTATCAGCATGCTCGAAGATGCCGCCCGCACAAATCAGCGTCTGGTATAGCCCCTGGGAGGAATGGAAAGTCGTTACCGCCGTGTATTTCTACTCTACTCTGCTTTGGTGAGGCCGAGTTCCTGCAGGAACTTTTCCGAGTACCTTCGCACCTGCTTGTACGTGGTCTCGAAGCCTTGCTTGCCGCCGATGTAGTACGGATCGGCGATGGGCTTGTTATCGTCCACGTCTCCGAACAGCCTGATGCGTGCGGTGCTTCCACGCGGAGCCATGGTCTTGAGGTTGCGAACATTGTTGGTGTCCATGCCAAAGATGTAGTGGAACGTGGTAAAGTCGGCATCGCGCACGCCGCGCGCAAAGTTCTCGGCATCGTAGGGGATGTTTCGCCGGACGAGTAGCGCTGTCGTACGCTCGTCCGGTTCTTCGCCCTCGTGATAGTTGCCCGTGCCGCACGAGTCGAGGATGCCGAATCGATCGCGCACCCCGGCCTGCACGCACGTGTCCTCGAACACGGCCAGCGCCATGGGTGAGCGACAGATGTTGCCCAGACAGCAGAAGAGCACGTTGATCTTGTCAGCCCCGCCCGAAGCGGAAGGCGGCTTGGATGATGACGACGACGACGACATGGCGACAGATGGCAGTGCGCAAAGATGAAGGCAGCTTCGGAAAAATGGCACTCTTTAGGCCGCCCCAAATCGTCGCTCTCGAGCCAATTTTTCTCCACTTTTTTCCCTGCAGCCGATGTGCATTATTTGATAAATGCACGCTGTTGTAATGTAATCCGCAGCCGCCACTCCACCTTGGCACCGCTCCTCCATCCCGCAACAATTCTTGCCATGGTGTCGTACAAGGAGCTCGCTCGCAAGAACGATTCGATCGACGCCACGGGGCAGCGTGCACTCGTTGCCGGTGGCACGCAGGGGATCGGTGCGGGCATTGCGCTGCGATTCGCGCTCGCCGGTGCATCCGTTTGGCTCATCGGCCGCAACGAGGCGAAAGCAAGCGAGGTGCTCGAGCAGCTGCGTCTCGCCTCGGCCGAAGCAGCTCGTCGTGCCAACACCGCCACCGCCCATACCGATCACCACTTCTTCCAAGCCGACCTCTCGTCCACCGCCGGCGTCAACAAGGTCGCCCAAGCCGTGACGGCCAAAGCGGGAAGCAGGGGGATCGACTACCTCATCGAGACCCAAGGTGGACCGCCCCACGGCGGGATCGAGACTACCCCGGAAGGTGTCGAGACCCAGTTTGCCGTACAGGTCCTCTCGCGCGTCGGACTGGCAAAGCACCTGCTCGAGGCCAACACGATCAAGCGCGGCGTCTTTATGGTCGCCGCACCCGGCCAGGGCAGCAAATCCCCCATGGACCTCGATGATCTCGACTTTGTCAAGGCCAAAGCGGCAGGCAAATGGTGGGGTGGTCCCTTTGGTCTGCTCAAAAAGGGCACGCAGGCTTCGTCGTTGCTCGACGCAGCCTGTGCGCGGTTGGCTGAACAGCACCCGAACCTCACCATCACCCACGCCTTCCCCGGATTCGTAAACACCCAGGCCCTCGCCAACCAGGGCCACAACAGTCTGCTCGTTCTAGCCGCGCGTGTGTTCGGTCCGATCGTAGGTGCTAAACCTGGTCCGGGCGGTTATGCCGAGTTGCCCTTTTATCTGCTCGCCAATCCAGAGGGACAGAGATACCTCGAAACGGGCAAGCCCAACCTCGTCAATGACAGCCTCAACAAGCTCAACATGAGCAACAATGTCGCCGACAAACCCACGCGCGATGCGGTCTGGTCCAAACTAGCCGCCTACTTCTAGTCTACACTCCCACAATCACTAGCCGCGCAATCAAGCTCTGCCACGCTTCCAATCCAACCCCGCACGCCTCGAATGAAAGAGAGAGAGAGAGAGAG